TTTTTTTTTTGATGTGTTTTAGAATATTTCTGACCATTAGCCTTTACATCGAAATTTTGATTGCACACATGTGGCCGTTACTGGAGCTAATTCTGGATTTTGTACATCAGGTTAAAAATAAGAATGGGGGGAATTCAGGTGGATAATCAGTTGCCTTTAACTCCAATGCCGGTTTTATTCCGGACGCAGAGAGTTGGGGAGGACACTGATCATGTTTTGAAGCTTTCTGTGACACAACAGTCAAGTGGATCTCTAGATTTATGCATATACCCATATATAGGGTTGCAAGTGAGTATAAGGAAGTTTATTTTGCTGAATAAATTTCTAAATTTTCTGTGCTAAATATACTGTAAACTATTCTGTCAGGGACCTGAAAACACAGCCTTCTTGATTAATATTCATGAACCAATTATCTGGCGCCTTCATGGGCTGATCCAGCAAGCTAATTTTACCAGAATCTTTGAAACTAGGAACACTTCTGTTTCAGTGGATCCCATTATTCAAGTTGGGTACGTATATACACTGCAGCCTTTATATCCATCAATTTGTGCTGTTTCTTAGAATTAGTGTTAAATTACGGTGCTTTACGTTTGCAGTGTTCTTAATATCTCTGAAATTCGCTTCAAAGTGACCATGGCTATGTCCCCAACCCAAAGGCCAGTGGGTGTCCTTGGATTTTGGGCAAGCTTAATGACTGCTCTTGGAAATACTGAAAATATGCCTGTAAGCATGATCTTGCAGTTTTCCTTAGTATAGATACAATGTAATTGCATTATGATGGACATCATAATTATTAGATAGCATCTTATTATGATAATATTTGATTAGGGTTATATAGTATCTTATTTAGATAATATTTTATTTGAGGTTATATGATATCTTATTTAGATAGTTTGATTTTATTATTAGGGTGTATTTCTTGTTGGGCAAGTTTATTGCTATTATGAATATACTTGTCTATGAATGTTATTTGATGAGGGAGTACTGAATAATAATTTGAGATATAGTATTTTCTTCAAGTTATGTTTGCTCTTTGTGATAATCATATGTATTTGTGTTCATTGTCCGTTCATTCATTGAGCTTCTGCTTGCATCACTAGACGTTCATCTCAGATAGTGTTGTGCTACACCATTTATTTGGGGTAGATAGGAATATGATGTAATGGCACTTCGGGATGTCCGTGTTAGACTATGAAGGAAAACAAAAATCAGAATTCTTGTTTGTTTTGCTCAATTCACTCTTCATGTGATGAATTCAACCAACAGCTGATTACTTATATTTGCACCTATGCCAAGATTTAGTATACATTTCTCTCTAGCATTTCAGTCTCTGTTTTATGATTTCCTCATGGCTAGGTAGCGTCATATGATAGTTTAAGAAAATCTTCATGCACGAATCATTGCATTATGATGGTCACACTATTTGAGATCCCGACTTCTAAAGAACCTTAAAAAACTCTACAACTGCTGTTAATGAGATTGTAAATGTTGTAATTTTGCATTATGTTATCAGGTGAGGATAAATCAGAGATTCCAGGAACATGTGTCAATGAGGCATAGTGTTCTAGTCAATAATGCTATCTCAAATATCAAAAAGGATGTTCTCAGTCAGCCACTGCAGCTGCTGTCTGGGGTTGACATTTTGGGCAATGCAAGCAGTGCACTTGGACACATGAGCAAAGGCGTTGCTGCATTATCAATGGACAAGAAATTTATACAAAGTCGTCAAAGACAGGTTTGAAGTTATTTGTTCTGAAAGCAATCTTAGACATTATCAAGTCTGACTATTCTCCTGACTGCTGGATGAGAATCTGTGTTTATAAACCCGTTACACGTGAATACTTGACCTAATGAGATGCCTTGTTGAATATGCTATGAGCCTCTAGAATACAAATTCTTGCTAACATTTTCAGATAGAACATTATCTACTCTCAAATGACCAGCAGCCTGTCTTGTCCCGTAATTGGTAGAAAAATGCAAAATATTTAATTAGTGGGCGTTGAAATATTACTTATGCTCTAAATGAGCAGTTATTTCTGGGTGGAGGTCCCGGCTTCATGTATGAACTCTCTTCCATGTTTTTCCTTTCTACCTTACCAGTCGAGAAGATATTCTTTCTCAAGTGATCATTTCCTGAAGCGTACCCCTGAGACACAGTATAAGATCTATCCATATTATCCAATTATTTGACATCTTAATGTCTATGGTAAACTAATCATACCCCTGTATAAGCCCCACCGTGACGAGTAATGATAAGATTTGTAATAGTTCAAATGACAAAATCGCGTGCTTAGTTTCTAATCATTTGCTAGCTGTATTGTTTGTTAGTGATCTTCTCATTGACTGGGCATTCATATACTTGGGTATGGTCCTTGGATATGTTACACATTATTCATTCTTGTTATTAACGCATTACTTTGTCTTTCAATTAACATTACCACTTCTATTCAGGATAACAAAGGTGTGGAAGACTTTGGTGATGTTATTCGAGAGGGTGGTGGGGCCTTAGCCAAAGGCATATTTCGAGGAGTCACCGGCATTTTAACTAAGCCTCTCGAGGGTGCAAAAGCATCTGGGGTTGAGGGCTTTGTGCAGGGTGTTGGAAAGGGATTGATAGGTGCTGCCGCACAACCAGTTAGCGGTGTTTTAGATCTTCTGTCAAAGACCACAGAAGGTGCAAATGCAATGAGAATGAAGATAGCTTCAGCCATTGCTTCTGAAGATCAACTCCTCCGGCGGAGGCTACCCCGAGTTATTAGTGGTGATAATTTAATTAGGCCATATGATGAGCACAAAGCACGAGGACAGGTACTTTGTTCATCCTCTATGCAATTATCCCCGTGATTTTACAGCTTCAGAGTATTATAGACTAGCAACTTTCTAGTGCTTGAGGAAGAAGAAATAAAAAAAATAACTCCTTCATGAACGGAAACTTCATAAGCGCTTTGTAACCGTACCTATTGTACAAATACCTCATTTGCATATGTGCTTTAAGTTAATGGGCTTTTTTTGATTGTGTTCTGATTAGGACCAGGCCATAAGCTACTTGGATCTTTTAGTGATTGCACACTCTCCCTCAATCAATCAAATCATTTACCATCTATCCCTCTGAATGTAAAATATGAATACCCACACTTTCAGTGGGATATGAATCCAACTACCGAAGCAATCAGCTTTCTCCGTTGATCTTAAGTTAGGCCCAAAGTACTTTAAAGACAGAAAAAGGAATATGTTGTCCAATGACTAGCTCTCATTATGATATGTT